CTATCAATTCACGTGGAAGATGAGATAAACCCGTTATCTCGTGTCCGTACGTACCAGCGTGTGACAAGAGCGTGGGGAAGGACGTGGGGCAGGAGATACAGGAGCGGGAGGAACGGCGGTGGAAGTCACGATGAGGAAATTCAGAAGAAAAAAAAAAATCTAGATTGCAAAAATTATCTGCAGATTTCTGGTCTAAGAGCAAACGGTGTGTAAAGAGATAGCGGTGTGCCCAGTTGCCTGTTTTTAATGTGGAGTATCACAAAGTCAAAGAGCTGAAGAAATGAATCCGTGGATGAGAACTTGTTTTGTCGTCACCGGTTCTGTGCTACCACATGGCTGCCCACCGTGAGGACCTGGTCCCCTTCTCTCAGGAGCAAGTCCTTGGAAAGGGCTTGTCCCAGGTAGTGCAGTCAGTGTTGTGCCTTGTGTGGTGGGGCAGCTCTTCATCAGCGAGTTGGGCACAAGTCCTCTGCAAGCTGCGAGGGAGAGGAGCCTGGAAAGGCGGGTTGTGTTCCTCTTGGCAGTGCAATACAGAATCTGTGTAGTTACTCTTTGCCTTTGAAGTCAGAATTTGAAACTATTTAACATAGAGGCATTTGAGAACACAGTGAATCCATACCTTAGTCATATTTTCCTCACACTGACAGATATTTTGGACCACAGTTTATCCCATCAAGGTGCAGGTATGGAAAGATGGCAAAAGATGAAAGAGTAGGTGCTCCACACCTTTGAGTACCCATAAATGCTCTTAGCTTCAACAGATACCCTCAACGTTGCAAACAGCCTGCAGAGAGCATGTAGAAGAAAGGGCCGTGGTCCTACCCCTCCCTGCCAGGTGACCACTTGTGCAATGGCATGTAAGGAGGGCAGAGGTTGTGTGTGGTCAAAGGAAAGAAGATTTCAGGGAAATCATAGCTGACTGGGTCCGTTCTGCCCCTTTGCACAGCAAAGCGGTGGAGAGTTTGGCTCTAGAACTCTGTGGATCTGGAGCAGTAAGTTCCTGCAGGGAAATCTCATCTGTGAAAAGCAACAGATTCTGGCAAATTCAATCCAAAAAGTTGAACGTGGTGGATACATAAGCCAAACTGAAAACAAAGGCTTAAAATCATAGAATCATAGAATCACGTAAGTTGGAAGGGACCTTTAAGATCATCAAGTCCAACCATAAACCTAACACTGCCAAAACCACCACTAAACCATGTCCCTCAGCACCACGTCTACCCATCTTTTAAATACCTCCAGGGATGACAACTCCACCACTTCAGTGGGCAGCCTGCTCCAGTGCTTTACAACCCTTTCTGTGAAGAAATCCATCCTAAACCTCCCCTGGTGCAACTTGAGGCCATTTCCTCTTGTCCTATTGCTTGTTACTAGGGAGAAGAGGTCAGACCCCCTCTCTACAACCTCCTTTCAGGTCGTTGTAGAGGGCGATAAGGTCTCCCCTCAGCCTCCTCTTCTCCAGGCTGAACAACCCCAGTTCCCTCAGCTGTTCCTCGTAAGACTTCTTCTCCAGACCCCCCAAAATGCAAGCGTTTATACAGCTTTAACTAAAAGGTACCAGATATGATAAAAAGCCCGTAGGATGTAAAATAACACTTTTGAAATGGAAGCTTTTTAGCAGTGTCTAAGAAAAGCTATCTAATACTCCCACAGAAAACGGTGTTTGCCAGGGGTGCAATACAGATGACCAGTGCCATGAAAGTATACGTAGAGACATCTGATTAAGTAGAAGCTGACACCCTCACTTCTTGAACACCTGAAGTGAAGACAAAGTAGCCTAACGTCACTATCATGCAAGCTGGAGTTAAGTTGGAGAGCAGATAGTGGTTTTTTGCAAGTAACAAATAAGAAAGTTAATGAAATACTCTGAGCAGTTCAGATGTAAATGTTAACTGGAAGGGCAGTTTGGAGGTATCTGTTCTTTGGTTGTTCATTCAGTGAAGTCCAACCTTGAAATTTCTTCCCGTGGCTGGGGATTTGGGGTATTGAACCCTTCCCATGGAAGATGCACTGTTCCTTGATCACTGTTTTTAAGAGCTTGTAGAAATGTTCAGCCTGTAATGAAGACCTCTCAGGTGTGAAAGTTCTCCTGCTACAGTAGACCTAATGATTTCCATCTTTCTTATAGCACGTTTTCTCAAAGGGCCATAAGTAGTTGACAGTCCAGAGGAGAAAACATCCCTAGTTTTGATAATGGCAAAAAAGATGCTTTGTATTACCTCTAGATTCTATAGCTAAAAAAACAGATATAATTTTGAGTAGTTTGTTATGTTTATAGTATGGGCAGAGCCTATAGTAAGTGTTCCAAGAGCAATAATTGGCCATACGAACCTCTCTTTAGTTCCCTTTCTACCCGATCTCTGGCTGAGATGTGGATCACTAGAGATGCAGAAGAACCATCCTGTAGGCACAGATTAAAAATAAACTACCAGTTTTCAAAATTTTAAGACACTTTGTCCTGTGGTAGAATGGCAGGAATTAAGGCTGTGACATTCACCTGTGAGGCTCTGAGAGACCTCAGCGATGCGTCATCCCCAAACAAAGAGTACCATGATCTTCCTTCCCAAACCTTACAGAACACAAAAATATTTGTACTACCTGCACTTGTATATGGTTTTCCTTTCCATAAAACCTTTGATCTGTTAGTCTCAAACAGGAGTATTCAAGATCCAATCTTAGAGGTAGAGAAACTGAGGCAGAAAGTGAGTTACCAGCTCTTGCTCACCAAATCTTCTCTGCTTTTGGATATGTGTTTGTGTTGCCCCAGCTTCCTCTCGATTTTCCCAAGCAAGAATCAGGTAACTGCTGCCGTGGGACGGGGAGGAGCAATGGCATCTGCGTTTAAATCATCAGGTACATAAGTTTTCATCAGCGGGTAAATCTGATGAGCTGAAAATGAGCTATTTTTCAGCTTTCCAAAAGATTGCGCGTCTGCCAGTTGTATCGAAAGTTTCACAGAGGGCAGTGAAGGTGTATGGGTTTGAGTGGTGGTTTTTCTTCTATGGTCTCCATTGCCTGATTAACAGCTGAAGCAGTCTGCTCAGTT